TAGGTCGTGTGTTGTTTCAAGAGTACCCTTCTCAATGTGCACTGTCAGTGGCGCCCCCTCCCGGCGACAAATGATTGATCGTGCGTCGACAGTGGCCTCAGATTTGCATAGCGTAGTCAAGGGCCTAGTGGAATGATATGAATATATAATTAACTAATAAAAATCTCCAGTTAAGTTTAATTTTGGATGACGGCAACTCAGTTTTAATATTCAACAATTTATAATCCTTTTTGAATGATATAATGTAGCATCAGTTGGTATTTTAATTTAGGCTCTATCTTGTCTACCTTTGTGCGTATATAACAGAATTAATATACAACAAAATAATTCTTTAATGCTACAGAAGGTCCTGTACACTTCTGCGTATCCACAATTAGTTTTCTTTATACATATAAATGTTTATTATACAAAGCGTCTATATTTTCCATGTCACATTTTTTACCGTAGTGGAACAAATCGTTAGAGGCGATAACAGCGCCCTTGAATATGCTACCTTGTAAACTGCTATTTAAACTTTTCAATAAAATGGGTGTGTAATATTTTTATTGTATACCTTAAATTTTGCTTTTACGCTCTTTTTACTATTTTTATAAGATTCTGTTTTAATTAAAATGTACAAGCATTTCTGCTTGGTAATTATCTAGAATTTTCTATTGGCGCAATCGTATTTTGAATTTGGAACAGGTACCTATTTGATAGTAAACAAAATACACTTCTTTGTTCAACGTCGCAAAAATGTTGTGTGTTTAATTTATGCATTAAATTAACACGGATAACGAGTTTCCACTTTTTTTTTAAAATACTTATTGATGAATTTTTCTGTGGTCGTATATTTGATAGAAATAAATATTTTTTTTATTGGTACATAACTGTTTCGAACTGTCTGTCATTAAATCTAGTCTTCAATTAGCAAAAGCATCCGTCTCAACGATCATTCGAATAAGTTATTTGAATTTGTCTGAGTAAGACTAAATATAAATTTGCACTTTTGCATTTCTCTGGTCTCGCGCGCGACGGCAAAGGGCAAAGGGTAACTAGCTGTTTTTTCCTTTGCTAAAAGTCTTTTTATGTCATAGTCCAGCCATCAACTATCTCCACATTATACAACAACATCAGAGCTCGATTAAGAATACACTTAACGCCAGCTTATCTAATTATTTCATAAATAAATATTTTTAAAAGATATTTGAAATTACTTAGTAATTTTCCGAAGAATTTTAGTTTTAAAATACTCAAACATCAATTTTTATCCATATAATTTAAAAAAACAAAGAACTTTCATTGTAAAGTTTCAGACCATTTCACCTTCTTCAGGGTGAACTTTTCAGAATTCTATTCTTAGTACATCTCTACGTAATTGGATAAATGTACCTTATAAATTTCAAGTCTCTGCGACCAGCGTTTTCTTCTTCCGAGACAGTTACAGTATTAGATTTAATAGGAATTCAATTACAATACAAACTGAAATTAGTTTTAAGTACGAAAAAATGTAAAATTAGGTTATTAAGTGTATATTTAATATAATAGATACTTTCAAGATCAGTGAAGTAACTAAAGCTCTTATACTATAAAACTTACGTCACAGAAGAATAAGAAATTGATTAAATATCCTTGAGCGTTGTTTCAAAACAAAGTTCCCATTCATCATAAATATGTGAGTACGTATGTACTCTCTTAAATATTGAAGTAGGCACGCCCCGCGGCTAATGAATTGTGCCTACTAACAAACAGATCATCGATCATTGACCGAACGGGGCTGACCATAGAGTGTTGACTTAGTATCCGCCCTGCAGGAGCGGTGGCGGTACACGACTGTCTTTTTATAATGCATGTTTCTCACTGTATTGCATGTCTTTATTTGCTATTTATGATATCAGTGTCTTTCTTTTGCTTTGTAGTTATTTTTTGACTAATTGTATGAACAATAAAAACTAAAACTGACAATGAGAGCTTTGACATATTTATCTAAAAGCATACAAAAATATGTATAGCCCTCATTTTATTGAGGTTAATCATGACGAAACTTTTAATTTAACTTTTTATTATTTTACAAGTCTATAGAACCATAGAAAAAAAATACATATTTATTACATAGTTATACAAAGTGTACCTTGTTATGCAATATAATTAAAATGACAATCCGCTCCGCCTACATTCTACCATTAGCCGTCTCATTAATATTACTTTTTCATTTATTTGAAATGTTTTTACCTCTGTCTCATGCCTTAATATCCGTTTTGTAATACATCAACCCCGATATCCAAAAATAAGTCAGAAACCTTATAGAGTTCTGTACATGAACTCAACATTTGTCCCCACAATCAAAGTTAGGAAACCCGCCTCATGTTGCTATGCAGATAGTTTTGAAGTTGTCGCATGTACGTCGCTGATTTATGCGAACCAACGAATGGTTAGGGTAGGCTAGTGATGTTGTGATAGCGACAGTCACGCTGTCGATAGTTGCTCTTAAATTTGTCGGCATTTTTAAATAAGTTACGATACTATATATCGATGTCACGGTCACTCCATTATGTCGGCGATTAAAATACTAATGACTATGCTCACTACATGACATGTCATGACATGAATTGTATACTATTAACTTACAAGTGTTATATTTTATTATAATGTTGCCATGCTTGAAGGGTTACAAATTAGCGTTTTATCTCGAAATTAGAAGTAATAATTTTTGTAACGACGGACTTGACTTTACTACAATTATTTTGTAGACTCCAAACTTCTGAATATTAAGATTCCACAATTAATTAAATTATTTTCGGACAACATAAGAATTCCATTTAAATCGTTACAATATCTTCGTCAAAGAAATCTAAGCGAGAACAATAAAACGCATTCCCCAAAATAATGACAACAGTACACACAACTAACTTTAATGAATTGGGAATACATTGTCCTCGGCGTGGGACAATTATTTCTCGCCCCTCGTGTATAAATATGCTTTGATTTTGTACTAGAAATTTAAATACAACTCAAATAAAACGCGATTTGAACAAGCCGTGATTTGGCCAAAAAATATCTGACATCATGTACGAGTATGTGATTGAACGAAACACATTTGAATCTGGTACACTATGTTATGGTGGAAATATTCTATTTAAACTGGTTATTAAAAAAGAATGCAAGTAAATTCTGCTTAAAGTGGTCATCGTAAAACGCGATGAATTAAAATGAATTGTTTGAAATTTGTTAAAGCACAATAACTCTAATCAGGTTTACTTCAAACATTATAGAATGCAGAATGAAAGAAACAAAGCGGTATCATGAGCTAGTTATACCACCAAAACATAAAACGCAACCTTAACTATATTCAAATAAGTCTCAATCTCATTTACATAGCTGTTATATAACAAACAACCTAAAGCAATGTTTCAGCATCGCTTTTAACTACCCAATTTTATAATTACACGACCAAAACACATTTCCTTGGCTAGACAGACAAAGACAGAAGAAGGTCCTCTCTGTTGCACCTGTTTGTAGGGTTGGCAACGTTGGTTAAAATATTCATAATAACAGTGATCTGCCACTTTAACCCCATCCCATTCCTGCTAAGCCTGATGAATACTACTTGGAATAGCAAAAAAGATTTAAAGCTTTCTCTGCGAATAATCCAAAAGGAGGGTTATATTCAGATTTCTTAAGATTAAAATATACTGAGAATATTTACTAAAACTATACTATTTGATATGAATTTAAATAGGAATTATAACTAATTCTTGTTTGTCTGTCTATCGGGTAGATTATACAAGAATAGTAAACATATTTTTTTTATTTTGCGTTATCAATAAGTTACGGCGATACATCGAGTTGAAATGTCGCATTACGTCACACTTTTGTACATATTCTGAATAGTTATGATGTAGCGAGCTCCACTCCCCAATTTTAATGCCCATTATCTAAGAAATTCTTACTAAATTGAAGCAAAAAAACACGTACCTAATATTTTTCTATTATCTGACCGATGTACTAAATAGTTTTTTTTATTTTTTTACCAAGGCATCATCCTTATTTAGCATATACCCATGTGATGTACTTTTTTTAATAGTTTAATTTGTAGCTTAGTTTGAATGCAGTTAAGATTTTTTAAACATTCCTAACATTTAATTGAACTGTAAATATTGTGCATTATTTAACATCCATTACATTTATATTGAATGTGTTGGGCTGTTATCAATAAAGAGGACTAACAAAAGCAAATTGCATGAGGCTGAGATGGATGCGTGATGTGAGGAGAGCGGACAGTATAAAAGAATAGTGATGACGACTATATTTTGTTTGTTTGTTCGTCATGTAGATTATTACAGATAGTTATTAAATAAGTATTTTTTTTATTTTTTCCCTAATCAATAAATTACGGTGATACATCGAGTTAAAATGCCGCATGACGTCACGCTTTTGTATATTCTCTGCGTGGCTATGACGTAGCGAGCCCCCACTGTTCGACTTTAGTGCCTTTTATATAAACCATTTCTTATAAAATTGAAGCAAAAAACTAAGTATCTAATATTTTTCTATTATATGACTGACGAACTAAATAGAATTTATTTATTTTTTCCCACTCGTCATCCTTATTAGGGCAGGCTTGTCAGAAACGTCGCCGACAGAACGATTGAAAGGTAACCGACTGTAGTGGTCGGAACGTGTAATAAGGACATAATATGTGATGAGGCAGAGAAAATGATAGAGCGACTGCTTTTAGAAAGTGTAAGTAGTCTCTTGGGTGGAATGGAATGATTGAAAGTTTCACAATGAATATTATAAAAAAGAGCCGCTTCGGATTGCCCCACTTCATTGAGTTTTACAGTAGTTGTTTACTTACAAAAAACTATGTGGTTACTTTATTTTATCCGTTCAACAATGTTATAAGGATCTGGATAGATGAAAATTATACACGATAGAAAATGTATACGAATTATATAATAAATATTATTTAGTATTCTTATTATTGTTTGTATTGTGTTTAAAATAATTTAAAAACTTACCACTATTTTAAATCTTCAATACGTGACGAATATCTGAAACAATAAAGTTATTTATTAACACAAATCAAAATAGAAAATAGTCACGAATACGAGAATAGTAAAAACTACTGCTGCCAAAGGGGCTGGCCCAAATTACGATAAATTAGTTTTTAAAGTTTTCATACTATTTTTTTCGCAACTTTTATTACTTTATTGTTCTTCTTATTATTCTCATTGATTTCCTACCTATACTGCTGTTATAAATAAATAACATTTTTCAATATATATTTTCAACCCACAATTTAATCAAGTATGTTAGGTAATCGCGTGTTTCACGTAAATAATAAACATTGCATGTTTAGTATGCTGACATGGTGCACAAAGGAAGAGTCTGTGCAAGTTTTCATACTACCTACTTTAACAATATAGTAAGAGTAATATCTGCAGCCGACTATACTAGAGCCGGTCAAAGTCCTTATTAAACTATGCAGTTATGCACACATACGCGTCGTCTGCCGTAGTCATATTCGTAGACAGCGAGCCGTAGCAGACGCCGTAGTAATTGCTACGACGTAGAACACTGAAAGCAATGTGAATTGCTAGCGATTTATTTTTATATGGTGCTCAGCAATAAAAAATAAATAAACTAACGCACTATTTTGAAGCAGTTTGACTTTTATTTTAAAACCAGAACTTGTAAACGGTTCATAATACCGATTAACAAAGATTATTAAAAATTACGCGAACATTTTACCCACTGGATTAGTTCAAAGCAAAAATGGAAGCAGAGCTTCGAATGCCAACTTTTTGAGATTCAGTTTTGTTTTCAATGAGTAGTGACATCCAAAAACCAAAAATTGTCAAACTTCAACCGGTATTTTGATCAGACAGTATATCGTTTTGATCTTTATATAAAACCGAAAAAAACGGTTCCAGAAAAATTTAAAAGTTTTAATATTTGATAACGTTTCGCGATTTGCAATCACACACAGACCTCTCAATCTTGTTCTTTATCACATCATTATAATACTTACGTGTATTGCATATTTATGTTTTCTACAAGTCTCATTTATAAATTGTATGTAAGAAAGATTATATGAGAGTTAAAAATAGTAATAAGATGCCACGTATGACAGACACAACTGTCGTCATTCCACACTATAATTAATTACATTTCATTAATCTTGCAAGAGTACAGAATCCCTACGTAACATAATTAATTATCGAAAAATTATCGTGATGGTAACGAGTCGAGGGATTCATACGAATATAACAATCATGTGTAATAATTATCCTAAGTGTACACTTCAAAAGAGTAATTAACGGATCCTTTGTTATAAAAGATTGTCTGTCAGTCAGTCCGTCTGTCAGTCCCAGCTAATTGTCTCCGAAACTACTAGAAAGATCGAGTTGAAGTTTGGTACACATATGAACGCCGGTGACTCAAAGGTGGTCATGCAACTTAAATAATTGAATGTCAAACAGGAACGCCTTTTTAGGGCGCAGTTCACATAATTTTAAAATAAAGTTTCGCATTCTATATTGTGTGAATTTCAAATATATATTTTATATTTTTCGACAGTAATTAATGGTCTTGAAATTTTCTTTTATTCTAATATCCTCAACATAAAAATAATACTGCTCTGTGTTGCTTTATTAATTCTTTCTCCGTGTTGACGTTTTGACAAAATACGTTATGTATTTATTGACCACTAGTGGACGCCCGCGACTTCGTCCGCGTGGAAGTCGGTATCCCGTGGGAGTGAGAAGTTTTCCCAGTAAAAAGTACCCTATGTGTTATTCTGATGTATAACCTATATTGCTGTAAAGTTTTATCCAAATCCGTCCAGTAGTTTTTTCGTGAAAGAGTAACAAACATCCATACATCCATACTTACAAACTTTCGCCTTTATAATATTAATAGGATAAACATGAACCATCAATGAAAAGAACCCATCTCAGGGTGCCAGAAACCAAGTGGATTTTTTAAGCATTTTCCATTAAGTAAATAAATGTTACCCCTGGAAATTTGTTTCACAGAATAATAAAAAAAAATACTTAACTGATTGATCTGATAGTACTAAATATATTCTATATTTAGGTTAGAAGACATACAAATTACAGTTTCTCGTTCCCACTAAGTTATTATTTATACCGGGAGTACCTACAAGCTGTCATCCGCATACAAGCATTCTCGCAAACACAGCATGGAAGCCAGCTTGTACTTGAAATAATGGTCTCGACACCTAGTTACACTGACCTGAATAACTTGTAGTACTAAGTTTCTGTGAATAATAGTGTTTTACAATTGAATAGTATCTAGTCGTATTCTATTCATATTGAACGGCTTATAAAAGTATAATTATATCATAATTTAACAATATTATAACCAATCGATTGCTTTTGCTTCCTTTTTTCAGCAGCTTTCTAAGCAACGTTGTCGGAATCCAGCTAAATCCAAAACAGTCAATCTCAACGGTTTTTATACGTGTCAGTGCACTTGAAGCACTGTACTGTAACTGTACTGTATTGCAGTCATAAACAATACAACTCAAATATATACAAATTTAAAGAGTTGAGACACTGCGATGGTAGGTTATTTCTGGTTTCGAATTTGAATACAGGAATATAATTGAATATTTATAGTAAACAACTTTATCTTTAGCTGGTTTCCGAATAGACATTATTACTTGATCGTCATAAACTATTAGTAAGAATACATTTTAATTAAATATCATATTATAGATACAACTGTCAAAACAAAATCTAAATATTTCTATTTACTGTTGTGAGTAGGATTTTTATTGAAAAAAGTTAGACGAACTGACATTCAAATTAAATTTTATCGTACGTGTCGATAATTTAAAATGAAATTTAAGATCAAAGAAATAAAAATGTTTAAATCTAGTTTAAATGTAAAGTACACTAGGAATGAACGATGGCGATTGTACAACGCACCGTTCATACAGAGTTATAGTCAAAATTATTGGCTAAAAGAAACACGATCAAAATATAATAAAATATATTTTAGTATCAGTATATTAACTTTACAAAATTTGTATAAAATGCACGTATATATTTAATTACTACGAAACATACGATAAAATAAACAATTACCATAATTGGTACTACATTATACTGAGTGAATGCCGTCTTAACGAGTAGGTGTACTTTTACTCTATTAACGAAGCAAAATGTATTTTTCCTTCTAAGTAAAACAAGCTTCGGACAAAAAAAAAATACATTTACCTTATTCAAAGGTCAATAAGAGCGGCACCGTCAAAGCTATCTGTTTTTTTTTCGTGGTGATGGATTTATTTCGGTACAGATAATCGTTAATTTCGAGCGACACGATGGTTGCCTTCGGGTCGGCTAATGGTCTCCGTCGCGGCTCGTCGCCATTGTCGGCATAATCAACGGGAGACGCCTACGTAAATAATTCCGTTATAGTTCCACAAACAGGGTGCGGAAATTGTTTCTTTATCCGTCGAATGGAGGCTTTAAGCTTTATGGATAAATTCAAGAGGATTTATTCCAGTATAATAAATGTGTTTACAATTTTTCAGTCTCGTTATGTTGCTTTGTTTAGGCGGGAGACGAATGATATTTAAATGTAAGTTTTAAAGATGACAAAAAAATTAATATTTGTTCTAAATTACTCAAATCCAGTTAATTACAATGGCATACAGACGATGTCCACAGTTATTATGTAGATTTTATTTTTAATACTGAAAGAAACTTACGCGTACGCGTAAATGGACGGTGTTTGATCGGTAAAGACGTGATATAAGTAATTCACGACAAAAATACGAACAAAATAAAACTTTTATAACTCGTTGATACGATTCACAATATTAATTACAAAGTCATATAACATGTGAAGTTATTCATGAATGCCAGCGCTCATATACGCACACAAGTCGGCGGTTGACAGTTAACTTCAATAATTCAAGTAGTGTCAGGGCTGTTAACTTAATTAACTTTTTTGACCGAATAAAAAAATATTTTGTTATGTACAAACCTATATAAAAACTTGTCTAAAAATAGAACCGACTTCAAACTTTAAAAATATGATAAATTACATTTATCTCAAAAGCTACTTATTCAAGAAAATGGTATTATCTCACCATATCAACTAAATATTTGGGTGATACCTACTTGCCCATTATGCTGTCGAAAGAAAAATTATTTCGAAAATTGGTCAACAATTGGCGAAAATATCGTTGAACATACATAAAAAAACATCGCCGTCGAACATAGAACCTCCTCCTTGTTAGTAAAAATTTGATGTTAACTTATCAAAAATCATATAAATGTAAAATACGTGATTTTTTCTTCGCTGATATAAAAATGTCGTCAAAGTATTTTTCTTATTTGGCAGAATATTTCTAGTTATTTTGTTATAAAAATAAAAGTACTTAACCGTATTCAAAATTCATATGAGACCAACTCAGACTTTCGAGTAAATAAAAATGAAAATAGGTCTACGATTCACGGAGATACCGTTGAGTATACACAATAAAACCTCACCGATATATCAGACCCCAAATATATATATTTTTTTGTATTCAATTATACAATCTGACAGCCCTGACGGTGGCAAACACACAAAACTATGAATACAAGATGCCTGATGATAATAACAACTTCTATCACATATTTCATTGTCAGTTATTAAATAAACCAGATAACTTAGCTATATATCATATTATAAGACTTTGTGTTCGTAATCTCGTCAGCGTGAACTATTTGTCAGTATTAAACAAAGACATTTTATCATTAGACACGTCATATCCGTCCAAACTTTTTAATACATCATTGGTATAAAATGGAAATTATGAACTAACCGTGTGTGACATTGACACTAGTCGTTTTGACGTGAAGCTAATTGTCGCACATACAGCACATTTCACAACTAAATATCAAATTCACAATCAAAGTAATTTCTACCATATTAAAGTTTAAAATCACATTCATAGTTTTAGCTTAGTTGACATCTCGTCGACGGTATATTGTTAATTTCCCATTTACAATACTAATTAATAGGATAACGT